GTGTATTTGGTGTAATGAAATGTGTTTATGTGGTTTAAGGTTCAAAAAACACATTATTTTCCACATACTGTGCATTATTGTTTCTCCTCTATGCCCCGCCTTTCTGAAACGCGTCGATTTTTACAAAGCTTGGCCAGCTATCTAGTGCGTTGGGATTGGCCGAATACCTCAACCGTGTGATGGAAATGTTACGCCCCTCACCATACTGTGATGTCGTGTCCCGGAGCGACAAGACAAAACCAATAAATCCCATTACAAACAAGGCATTTGTTGCATCCAGTGGGGACATAATTACGGAGTATAATGACTTATACTGTCTTTTTACACGTTGCGTCGCATTGCGCAGTGTAAACATAAAACCATGTCTGCATTTGTGATCAGAGAAATGACAAACAACAAGCCCTACTCTACACTGACCAAACAAAGTAGTTTTGCTTTCACACCAAAACACACAGCGTCTTCACCACATGGCGGCAGCGGCGGCAACAATACTACAGCGAGAACCTTACACCTTCTTTCTTTGCGTGAATAGTGATGTAGACATGTGGGGGCGTGTTTAAACGAGACGTTTTTGGAGGGCGTGGACAAGTCTTAACTTTTATAAAGAATATCTCTTTGGTTTTGAGACTTTAGTCTTTGCAACTTTAGGGATCGTATCTATTCACGAACAGCTTGTAACACTCCAAAGAGAAAGGAAAACTTGAAATCGCATCATATGACCCCTTTAATAAGGAAATGAGATAAATCAGACCCACCAGTGTTTGACCCTTTTACTGGATGACTAAGAAATGGCTTTTTTTCCCCTAAAATTTTTGGCAGGGTGGAGGAAGGCAGATTCAAATTTTTAGGAATTTTAGTCACTTCTATATTTAGACACCATAAGGTTGAAGACATAACAGAAATTATGCAAATGTTGATTGTTAAAGTCAAATATAGAGGCTAATGAGGCAGAAAAATGGCAAGGCCATTTTTGAACATGGAAAGGAAAACCTACTTTAGTTCTATTTTTCATTATAGGTTCTGGATCTGTACATATGTATGTTACAATATTTAAAATTGCAAGTAATATACTAGATTTGCAATTATGATAATTACTGAATTATTATAAATAGTTACAAAAAATTTACTAACTAAAAAGAGAAATCCTACCTGTTGAGCTTTTCTCAAAAAGCTGTTGAACATCTCACTGGATCCCAGAATGGGGTCCTGACGCACTGCAGGGACAAAATAAAAAGCTCTTCATTAAAGGTATCAAAACTTGCAACTTGACAACCTACTCCAAAGTAGCTACTTTTTTAAATAAACCTATTCAGCTACAATGCAAGATAATATAATCATGTATTTAAACAAACTGTAGCCACTTAGAGGGGCAATTGTTTTTACAAGTTTACTCTTATATCACAATAGCATGCTATTTGTGGAAAGAAACACATACAATTATACAATATATAATGAATAAAAATAAACATTAAATTAAACATTTACACTACCATTCAAAAGATTGGAGATTTTGAAAGAAATTACTGTAAAAACGCTATTACAGTTTAAGTAGCACAACTTTACCATCAGATAAATAAATTTTATTTTGCAATATATTAAAACAGAAAACAGTTAGTAAATAGAAAAAAGATCATCAAAACAAATCTACAAAACAATTCACTTAAACAAATAGAATACATCAATGCTACTTTAAAAGGTTCAAGGTACCAATTTCCTTTGGGAAAGTTTGTTGAATGATAGTGAGAATGCTTTTTTGTGTCTAAACTGAACCATAATGTAAACCTCAATGTTTTAAAAATTTGTCAAAATCATGTAAACAAACTAATCTGGTATACAATGCAGCCTTTTCTTTAAAAATACCACCATGCCTCCCTGACTGATAATAACCTTAGTTTAAATTTTTTTAAAATCAGACCAACAAAAACTATAATGTTTATTTTTACTTCCATTATAGCACACAAGCAAACAACCGCAAAGCATTAGCACAAACTGATGAAATATTTCACTCTGAACAGCTTGTGTGTTTGTGTCAGTTAATTTTCCATAACCATGTTTCTCAGTGATGTAACTGAAGGGAGCCCCAGCCAAGAGCAGCTCCAGACTGTGAACAAATAAGCTCAACAAGGCTTAGCTTGTTCGATGGAAAGAGCCAGTGCTGGAATGGATTAGAGCAAATGGCTCTTGGTGCTGCCAGCACTGCTGATTTCCTTTTTTGTGGAGAAAACCTGTTAAACCACATGCATGGCAAATCCTCAATGCTGTACAACACTGGTGGCCCTCTTTTATACAGCGTGACTGATGTTTTGCTAACATGAATGACAATGTAGAAGTGTTTCCCAACCGGGGTGCCGTCGTCTGTCGAGAGCATGGGTGCAGTGTAAAAAATAATTTTTAAATTGCTAAAATGTTCAAAAAAAAGCATCTATTGTATAATATCAATTTCTGATGTCGCCAATAATTAGACATGCACCGAAATTCCAGCTGCCGAAAATTAGTTCACCGCTCAAGTTTCACTTTCACGTGGTGTGACGCTCTGCATATTATCCCCCTCTATGCATGTACGCTCTGCTCAGTTGCTCACGGCCCACGTGAGCGCTCCACTCATATACCGTTCATGCTCATCGGAACAGCAAAGTCCACTCAAAAATCAAGCCGACAGGAAACATCTATGTAGTACAGTATTGTTTCTGTTTGCAATAGCCCTACTGTAACATGGTATGGTATATGGGCAACTCTGGTAACGCTGCCCTCTCATTCATTGATCTGCTAACCGCTATGTTATGCTCACGTGTTCTGATAATAATAGCTTTCTATGCCTAAACATTATTTGGATATAATTGTTAAAAAAACAACAACAACTAAATCTCTTAATAGCCCTACTGTTAGACCTACCTGAAAAAATAAAAAGCAATTTATTTCATTTGCATCGTTATTATTTTTTGTGCTATTCTTTGTTCTTATTTTATTACTGCTTACTTGTCATTTTTTATTCAATTCAAAGTTTGAAATCAAGCTCTCTTGTGCTACTGCAACAAAATTACCACACTGTAAAATCAAAAATACACAGAGTGAGCAAAAATTTGTGAGATAACTAGTTATAACAGTAATTAAACAATGTTTACATATAAATAAAAGCCTACATGAAAATCGGTCATATAAATTGGTCTCTTCATTAGAAATTAGCCTACTGATTGCCACCATTGATGGACAAAATTTTTTATAATATTAAAAATATCTGTATTACAGTATATTCTGCAGTTCTTCCCTGCTGTACCGAATATTTATATTTTTCAAGGTATCATATCGAATTTAGAAATTCAAGTATTGTGACAAAATTAATTTTGTAGGGTGCCACAAATTTGTTAAAATTTCCAAAGGGTGCCGCGACTAAAAAAAAGGTTGGGAAACACTGATGTAGAACATTAAAAAGCTCCGTCCTCTTCAGGAAGAGCAGAAATTACAAGACCATCTGACCCCATATGAAGGCTGATGAACATCCAGTGTTGATGCATTTCCTGACGAAACAGGAAATTTGAGTGGGACGTTGTTTTTTTTTTTTTTGGATAGCCAATAGGCTTCATCACAGTTGCTTGCTAGTGATGTAGAACATTAAAAAGCTCCGTCCTCTTCAGGAAGAGCAGAAATTACAAGACCATCTGACCCCATATGAAGGCTGATGAACATCCAGTGTTGATGCATTTCCTGACGAAACAGGAAATTTGAGTGGGACGTTGTTGTTGTTTTTTTTGGATAGCCAATAGGCTTCATCACAGTTGCTTGCTAGTAGCAAGTCAGCTGCAAGTGGTATTAGGGGGAGGGGCATCTTCATTTTAGAGAGCTTCTGATTGGATACAAAACTAGTGCAGATTAAGTCATCAATATTTTTGCAATATTTATATTGTCGGGGATTTTTTTTTTTTTTTAAGGAAGTAGGCACTGACACTGAGGACTGGAGTAATGATGCTGAATATTCAGCTTTGCATCACAGGAATAAATGGCATTTTAAAATATATTACAATTGTACAATTCCCCAATTGTAAGTTGCTTTGGATAAAAGCGTCTGCAAAATAACTGTAGTAGAATGTAAATGTAATCGTGGTAAATTGTAGTAAGATTTCACAGTATTACTTGTTTTTACTGTATTTTTGATTAAATAAATGCAGCCTTGGTGAGCATAAGAGACGTCTTTCAAAAACATTCACAAATATTACCAACCCCAAACTTTTATATCTGTTAAAAGTGAATTTTGTCATGTTTAGGAGCTAAAACACAGAGTCTAATCTCAAACCTTTTTGTGACCTTTTCGGATAAAAGAAGATGCTTCTCACCAGCTTGCATGTACTTCTCTAACTGTTCTCTCCTCTGATCGACTTCAGCCGGTGTGAGGGTGAAGATCTTCTTTGGTGGAAAAGCTGGCACCACATTATTTCCATATTCTTTTTTTATCTGAAAGGACACAGGGAGAGAAGTTCATTTTAAATTGATGAGGTCAAATTCTGAAAACAGAATGTTTGGTTATTCTGGGAGGACAAAATTAAACTGACCACTGCCTGCCCTTGACCGCTGTGCACTGCTCTGTCGTACATGCTGACTGCTGGCCTCACAAGCACCAAGCTAATAAATCTGTTTACACTTCACAGCATCTACCAAAATTATGCCTGCTGTTGCTCCATCTCTGTTATTGGGGTTTTATTCAACGGCACAACAAAGAAAATTACATGGAAACATATATCAGTGTTGATATTGTTAACTAAAATAATTTTCGAAGCTGAAATCAGATAAAATATAAATATCATGCGAAAAAATTAAAAGGGTTAGTTCACCCAAAAATGAAAATTAGGCTGCGTTTTACTCACCCCCGAGGCATCCTAGGTGTATATGACTTTCTTCTTTTAGACGAATCCAGTCGGAGTTATATTAAAAATTGTCTTTGATCTTTCAAGCTGTTTAATGCCACTCAGCGGGTGTTGCATGCATCAGTCCAAAAGAACTTGAATAAAAATCACCTATCCATAAAAAAAGAAAAGTGTCTCACACGGCTCCGGGGGGTGAACAAAGGCCTTCTGTAGCGAATCGATGTGTTTTTGTAAGAAGAATATCCATATTCAAAACCTAATAATCACTTTAATGTAGCTTGCGCCAACAGTTGTACACAGAAGCAGTTCCGGGCAGATGATGTATGAGTTCAGCGCTGCGCATGCGCCGGTGAGTCTCGTGAAAACCAACGTTTGTTGATTCAAGTGATTATTACGTTTTGAATATGGATATGTTTCTTACAAAAACGCATCGATTCGCTACAGGAGGCGTGTGAGACACTTTTTTTTATGAATGGGAGATTTTTATTGAAGTTCTTTTGGACTGAAGCAATGCAACACCCGCTGAGTGGCATTAAACAGCTTGAAAGATCAAAGACAATTTTTAATATAACTCCGACTGGATTCGTCTGAAAGAAGAAAGTCATATACGCCTAGAATGCCTCGGGGGTGAGTAAAACGCAGCCTAATTTTCATTTTTGGGTGAACTAACTCTTTAAACTTACATGAAAAATAGAAATGTTGAATAAATAAATAAATAACTGAGTTGAAGCACTAAAATTAATATAACTAAAGTAGAAAATAAAGCAAAATAGAGATATATAAAAAAAATTCTTATTAAAAAGACAACTTAAAATATACAAATAAAAGTTCATTCAAAAATTCTTTTTTTTTTATTTTAGAAAATTATAATCATTATGAAGGCCCATTTTAAGGGTTAACTGCAAGCCTCACACCATGACAGCATCTACGGATTGCATCATATGACCACGTATGATCTGACTAGGCCCTCAACGCCCGGTTACCTAGACACAGTGGCTGCGAAACAACACAACATGCTCTTAATGGTGAGATCACTGAAGTTCTCTCTCATTCATGAGGAAACTTGGTGTCTGTGAAATTGGTAGGTGTTAAGATAGGTAATAAGCAGATCCTTTTATGTCACTTTCAGTGGATGACCACTCAAACTACTGGTGAATGTGATCACAGCTTCACCACTTCACTATTCAGACGAGAAGTACATTTGTGTTTCACCGGTGCACTTTGTGATTTTAATCCTGTCCAAATTAAACGTGTTTTTCTTCAAACAACTTTAGAAAATATTATGAAGCAAATTACAGATGTTTTTTGGCTAACTGCAGAGTGGCTAAAAACTACTGTGCTTTGTAACAAACAGCTTTTCATGTGCCAGTATTCCAAGGCAATCCTTGACGCATTTTAAAAATATGAGTGCAATACTGATTTCTGAAATGAAGGTCATGATGAAAATGTGTGTTCACCTGTTCATGGAGGCCTAGGAGTTGGCTGTAACGTACTCGACAATGCAAGACACCATTCACATGGATATTGTAAGCCTGCAGAAGGAAGAAAACAGTCTGTTAGTCTTTATAAAACAAAAATAAACACTCTTAGTCTTCTATATTCAAGGCTGCAACTGCAATATTGTGCTCTGCTACCTACTGACAGAGGGAGGATGAAACTGCCATGCCTTTACTTGTATGATTTCTGAGTTATTTTAAATTGTAATAATATTTCATAATATTTACTGTATTTTTGTTCAAATAAATGCAGTCTTGCGAAGCAGAAGAGACATTAAAAACAAAAAATATCTTACAGATCCCCCTCTTGACCAGTAACAGGGTGAACTAGTTTATGCAAAACCTGTTTAAATTATGCAAAACAACAAATATCTTGTCATCTAAGAAAGTGAAACAAAAACATAAAAGCAGTAAAAAAGTGTGATTCATACATCTGACCAATTTATATCTCAGTGGCCTTGAAAGACTTAGCTATTGAGAACGTCACTGACGATCTGTGATGGAGAAATTCTCTCTGAATCACAGTCAAAGATGGACACAAACAATGTCTGCAGTCAATCTGTTAGGAATTCACAATATCGTCACATCGGTGCATTAAAACCTTTGCGGGTCTACTGGAGGTGTTTTAAGAGTGCTGAGAGCATCCATGTGCAGTGGAGCTCTTATTACAATTTAAAATTACTGTTTTTTTATTTGAATATATTGTAAGATATAATTTATGTGACGCAATGCTGAATTTTTAGCATTATTTCTCCAATCTCCAGTTGTGCCGTTTCATGTTTTTGTCAAAACTGTGATACTTTTAATTTTTCAGGATTATTTGATGAATAGAAAGTTCAAAAGAACAGTATTTATTTGAAATAGAAATCCTGTAACATTATAAATGTCTCTACTGTCCCTTTTGATCAATTTAATGCATCCTTGATAAATAAAATGACTAATCTATTTATTTCTTACCCCAAACTTTTAAAGGGTAGTGCATCATTGCTTCCACAAAAATATGAAGCAGTTTTATGAATATGAAGCAAACTGTTTTCAACATTAATAATAATCAGAAATGTTTCTTAATCAGAAAATCAGCATATTAGAGTGATTTCTGAGTTATTTTAAATTGTAATAATATTTCATAATATTTACTGTATTTTTGTTCAAATAAATGCAGTCTTGCGGAGCAGAAGAGACATTAAAAAACAAAAAATATCTTACAGATCCCCCTCTTGACCAGTAACAGGGTGAACTAGTTTATGCAAAACCTGTTTAAATTATGCAAAACAACAAATATCTTGTCATCTAAGAAAGTGAAACAAAAATATAAAAGCAGTAAAAAAGTGTGATTCATACATCTGACCAATTTATATCTCAGTGGCCTTGAAAGACTTAGCCATTGAGAACGTCACTGACGATCTGTGATGGAGAAATTCTCTCTGAATCACAGTCAAAGATGGACACAAACAATGTCTGCAGTCAATCTGTTAGGAATTCACAATATCGTCACATCGGTGCATTAAAACCTTTGCGGGTCTACTGGAGGTGTTTTAAGAGTGCTGAGAGCATCCATGTGCAGTGGAGCTCAAAAATGATCTCAGCCCCTTATTCAAATCATTTGTTGGCTAAGGAGAGTCAACAGCACAGGCTGCACATCTGCAAACACCTACGAGAAAGAATTCAGGCAAAATATGCTTCGTAATCAATCCACAGTTCAGTGCAATACAGATGAAAACACAGCAGCCGAAACTGAAGCTGTCTGTTATTGATAGGCTCTACTCGCTGTTTCATAGAAAAATGAAGAGTCATGTCTTCAGAGTATTGAGCCAGCTACGTTTCCAGTTATGCTAGATAACTGTTATGCTGAAAGAAACGGCAATCTTGCACTGCGTATGGCTGAGGGAGAGATGCCAGGAGAACTGAGACATTGTGAATCCAATTCACACAACAACTCTCAAAGATGCTAGCTAGAGTATTTCTGAACAACCATGAACAAAGCTTCCTGATTCCACCTTCAATAACTTTGTGCCTGCCTTTTTTGTTATTCAATAAATAACTTATGAATGTTGTGTCAGCTAAAATATATATTTCTCTTTTATATATTTAATGAGTAGAAGTCAGAATAAGTATGCTTTAATTTTTTACAAAAATACATCTATTAAATCGTGCAATTTTAAGACTAAAATTATTCAAATGAAAGTTTTACAGTTACAAGTCACATCATACTACATTTTTTAATCTTACAACAGATATATGAATATTCATCTCTACTTGATATCGTTTGGTTTTCCTTTTTTGAATCCGTTCACTAAAAAGATTTGTTCAGCTTCCTTCACTGAATCTTTATCCATATCAAGCCAGTATGTGGTGGTTAAGGCTAGATGGCACGATACAGCAAAAACTACTGGGTATGCGCACATCGATATAGCATAATTTTTCTCACACTGTACAACAATAATTACTATTTTTGCATGATTGTAATGGGTAGGGGTTTAGGGTTGGGGTAGGTGTAGATGTTAATAAAACACAATCTAACAGGTAGAAAATTCTACTTATTGTTAGCTTCCTGTTTTTGCTGTATCCCTTCTAGCCACAACCATATGTGGTGGCATATGCAATGAGTGAATCATTGAATCACTCACTCAACCAATTACCCTGATAACACATGTACATCACAGAGACGTCTATTTGACATCTGCAAGATGTATTTTTTTTTAGAGTGTTTGCTCATCTGCTATACGTCTATAGGACGTTTCCTGTCAGAAGTTAAATAGACATCAATAAAATGTCTTTAAACCGTTCATGATTTAGATTGCATGTAAAACTGACATCTTAAAGACGTTTATCAGATGCGTGTACACAGCAGATGCTTTCCAGATGAAGCGATCTTTTTAACAGACATCTTGCAGACGCGTGTGTGCTATCTGGGTACCGAGTATTTCAAAATTGAAAATGAGTCTTGTTATCCTTTTATTAAAAACTACAATTTCTAAAAACTACCAAGAGACTCAAGAAAAGAGTGTTTAAGCATTATGAGCATTTTCACCTCAAATGAAAACAAAGTAGGCCTACATGTACAATTTTGCTCCATTTTGTCAACAAGGAAGGACTTGAAAAATGACAATAGCCAACAGCTATCATGTTAATTTTAGTTATCAGTCATTTTAACATAACTCTTCTGCCTCTTTCTCTTCTTGTTGTGAACGGAAGGACTCGTATGATGATCTGAATGAACGGACATGTTCCCTCAGTCAGAGAAAGATCCGTTCACAACAACGCTTCAAAGCACTTTCTACAGCGCCACCAAATGTAAACGCTAGGCGCATCGCTTATTTGACCTCCACTGCACTTACCACATATGTCGATCCATTTTCATCGGAGCGGACCTCCGTCTCGGGGATGGAGAAATGCATTTTCTACTCTAAGATTACAAGTCTTTGAGCAAGTTGAATGCTGTTAAAAGCGAGAGTGTTCACGGAAAGCCCTCGGTGTTTGGTCTGCTGTCATGCAGAGACCAAACTGAAACACGGCGAGCTACACTCGCTCCGATTCACTGTGTAGTCCTATCCAGTCCAGTCCAATCCAGAGCTGAATTAAGCCAGACAAGTTCTCTTTTGCGACGTGGATTATTATAAAACTTTCTTAATGTTCAGGGCTGAACTTTTCCAATAAACATCTAAGCAGCAGCCATGTTGCAACTGGAGGTATTTCCACGTTCATTGTCGGCAATGTATCACCAAAGCTGTCCTCTCACTTCCTCACGCACTAGAAGAGACCGTGGGGGTCGAGTCTGCAAAACACACAAGGGTCGTCGCAAGGCCCACGATCCCATTAACTTTCAGATTACTCCACGTAAAGGTGCTCCGCGGTTGTCTACAGCCCCCGTTGCTACATACATTGGTACATACGAACGAGTATGGAGAGGAAACAAATGAAGAAACTGTTTGTCGCAGCAGGCACTTCGAGATAGCGATACTGTGCTCCAACTTGTAAGGGCGTTAAGAAGAACGCACATCAGTCTGCACTGTAGCGAAACCTTCCAACACTGTAAACGAAGCCGCTCTGCTGTAATGTATTCAATGTGTATGTATCTGCTCTCTCCCGAAGCATTGCAACAGTCCGGATCAAACCATTCTTCTAGTGCGGGGGGAGGTATTGCGTAAAAATGTTCATCCGAGATCGGGCATGAACAAGTTGCCAGCGTACGTAGTTTGTAGTAAACAATCTCTCCATAACGACGTAAACTGATGTTTGATTATGAATGCAAGTGTTTAAACTTAATATTACGTTTAACATCGAAATGGACTCGAAAATCAGATTGCAAATCAGGAGGTTAAACTGTATCAAAGAGTATTTAAATATTAGCTAAATCATAGTTCTCAAGACAGCTTGTGATTTGAGGTATTTAAGGCGCTTTTTTTCTCTCAGAAAAATGGTCACTGAAAGGATCAAGACGCTTAACTTTCAGCAAATTATTACTTAAGGAGGCCAAACATTTTATATATATATTCAATAATTTTTTGTTACCCTGTTATGTATAATATTATATATATATATATATATATATATATACGTTTTGCATCTTCATATCAATAAACACTACACAAAAAAGATTAAAGGACAAAAGTAATAAAATGTATTAATTAAAAAGCACCAAAATGGGCAATAGAGTTGCCTAAATTAATAGGGCACCATAGTAGTTTTTTGTTAGTCATGTTGTTTTGTAGTTATGGATAAACTTCCCATAAATTAAATAAAAGTATTTATTTGATTTTTTTTTTTTTACTTACAGTAACTGTGGTAGCTTAACAGCTGTATGTTTAAGCTTGACAAATGCACTCAACAACACTAATTTGTCTAAAATTGACACAGGGTGAGATTGTTTCTTTGTTTCTTTCTATCACAATTTTATTGAATCTTACCTCTGAGCTGGGGCAGTCCAAAATCCACATTTATGGGGGGGGGGGCACATTTATAGTCAAACAACTTGTTGATATTCGCGTTTAATCTTATGTTTGATAGTAGTAAATTAAACATTCATTAATTAAACAACAGGGGATGTATGATGTTTTTTTTAAGTTATCCGTATTCGTGAAATGTGCGTTATTTTAAATAACCAGACTGAATATAAATGGCGAACAGGATCTATATCAGTTCAATAACGCGAGTTGTGTAAAAGCAACCTGTGTTTTGAGAGTGTTTCGTTTCTATCGAAATTTCACAGTGAGAAATGCTAAATATCTGCGCCGTCTGGTTGTCACGAATGGGGTCGCGACACTTGAACGTCATCGAAGATCATCGAGTCACATGACTCGGCTTTGTTTTGGGGAAAATGACACCTGCCGTTACAGCATCTACTGTGTATTTATGTACTGCTTTTATTGTTTTATTCAATGTATATGTCGATAGCCAGGATACTGATGCACAGGTGAGACAGTTTGCTATGTCAAATGAATTCAGAAGATGTAACAGATACTATAGTCATTTGCGAAATGATTGTAATGAAATAATGCTACATAGATATATAGGCATATATTAGTCACATTGTTGTGATCTGTCTTCACTGTTGTAAAGTAAAGTAAAACAATGCATGCTGTTTTATAATATTTTTTAAAGCTTTCACCTTTATTTTTGCTAGTTATGTAAAATGTGTGAAGGAACTGTACGACAAGATAGTCCTGTCTGGGATTTCTGCCTAACAAAAGGCCATATAAGAGGACGCTGCTGTTTTGGAAATGAAACCAGCAATGTAGATGCCATTATAGGGTAGGAAAACTTTTCTAGTATTCCACATTTTTGACATTTTGACATTTATTCTCTATGTATAATCTAACTGTACGGTGCTGTTTTAGGTTGGATTTGGCAAACTGCTCTATCAGTCATGTAGAGCACCTGAACAATTCATCCACAGCATTCATCATGTATGTACCAGAGCAGGTTTTTCACGATAATCTGCATGTGTCATTTTAGCACTAAATTGAATATCTAACTGTAGTCATTCTATATTTTCACAGAGATCTCTCCAACAACCCGATCTCCAATCTGAGCGATTTCATATTTCAGAGTTTCAGCCATCTTACCCATCTGTAAGTTATGCATTAGCGCTGTATATCATGTTAATTACATTTAAGTCAGGGGGAATGTTGCAACTATAATAAAAAACTAAATATTTTCCAAATATTTTTTAATGCATATGATTGGGTATAATATAAATTGGGTCCTTATACATGAAAATATAAAGCGGTCTTTTAAAGGTGCCATAGAATGGAAAACTGTATTTACCTTGGCATAGTTGAATAATAACAGTTCTGTACATGGAAATGACATACCATAACTGAGCCTCAAACACCATTGTTTCCTCCTCCTTATGTAAATCTTGTGCATGCAAAAGACCACTGAAAAATAGGCGAATCAGAACATAACACAGACCGTGACGTTACAGTCGGGATCACTAATAGTTACGCCCCCAACATTTGCATATACCATGTTCTATGCCAGCCGCCAGCCGAACCTGCATCAGAAGTTCTGCAGGTATTTTGAAGAAACAAGCGAGAATAATAGCGAAAATGGCAGATCATGGAAATAAATGTTATGCTCCAGGCTGTGCAGGGGATGTGATGTGCAGGGATGGGTTGGTGTCTGTATTCAGAAAGGCACGGAAAACAAATAACGCGCGCCACTAAAGGGACATGGTTAACTGCTTGCTAGCGGTAGCCTGTTACATTACAGGACATAAGATTTCACTTACCACATAAACAGAGTAAGGAGAGATGACTGAGGATGATGGCGAATGATTTACAGATCCTGAGCACCACTGACAAGCATCTGATCTTGTAAAATGTGTGGCTCAACATTGAGCCGCACTGTGAAACAGCCAATCAGAGCAGAGCTCAACATTACTATTCATGACCCTTCCAAATAAGGTAAAAACAGACAATTTAATTCTAGGGACAAATCCTAGGGTTGTAAATGGACATGTAAAACCATTTCTGGAGATTTTTTGCCCTTACCTAAGCCACATACCTTCTATGTAGATATCAGAAAGCAATTTAAAATATTGTATAAATGCATTCTATGGCACCTTTAGATTTTCAGACTGGGGTCTCTTTGACAAGGATGATGATATTCATCCATGGGGTCCATGGCATTTAAAAGATCTAAAAGATTGAAAATCCCTGATTTAAGCTAACACAGTAAGTTAACTTGACAAATCTTTACTTAGTTTACTACCCTCAAAACTGGAGTGTCCAGGGGGAAATGCATCATGGGAGAAGGTTGAAGTGAAAAACAATGCCAGAATCTGCAAAGGACAGAAAAATATTTGCAATCAGACGGCGCAGATGTGTAAGTAACCAAAAGAACTGGGATCTCAGTCTTCAAAATGCAAAAATGTATGTCTTTCAGTGCATTTCTTGATTATGGTTTGTCTCTTCAGCCTGGGATTGCCCTGAAAACTCATTCTGCAGCCCATATGGACCAGGGTTCTTTGAGTGTATTTGTCTGCATAATTTCTATGGATACAAGTGCATGAGACAGGTGAGACCCCTGTCAAATCATCCCAAACAGGTTGGCCATTACTCCTTTATTGCACACGTTCATTGTTCTTTAACAATTGCAGGGGGAGTTTCCTATAGTTAAGGTGCTTGGGATACTAACCGGATCAACAGTTGTGGTTTCATCTTTACTCTGGTTCACACAAAGACGAAAGGCCAAGAACATTTGAGTTTTAAAGAGAACTGACTGTTGGGCTGACAGTGGAGCCACAAAATGCATCAAGCTTATTGAAAATGGTGCAGCAGACCAACCACGGTTAACCATTTGCTGAACATTGCAGTTTCTTGTTTTTTAAACTTGCCAAAAGCAGGTTTGCATGACATACATTTTTTTTAATGAATAATTTTGTACAGTTTGTGTTTTATTTCACTTTCTTTTGACCCTCAATGTCCTTAAATGTTTTTTATTTATACATTTTACGAAAGCTTTCATGAATACTGACATTTTCACAGCCTTGACAAGGCTGGTTTGTAAAGGGAAAACTGACCATAGACTGACCTCGCTGATTGTGTTTGGAGGACAGCCACATTTCTGACAGATGTTTTGACTCTGAACATGTCAAAGTGAAGCACTGAGATATTTTAGCAATGAATATTAAGGACAAATATTTTGTGTTTAAAGACAAAGTTATTTTATTTGAAAGATTAAGTGTTTTCATAAGAATTATAGGTTTTCTGACATGTAAAAAAAGACTATTCATTTTACAGTGGAGGGGAAATGGATGTCATAGGACATATTTGTGAAAAATGTAGATTGTTACCGTCACCTGCTGTTTACAGATGTCACATTTCATATTTCATAACTGACAACTCTTCAACCTCTGAAACTGTATGCTTTTCTTTTTTTGGCAGTGTAAGTGTAATAAGAGATATATAGACAGACACTATTAGTAGAATACTGACATACATTTCATTGCGAGTTTCTGCCAAGAATGTAGTATTGTTGTATAGAATTCAGCATGTACCTTGGCAACTAAAATAAAGATTTGTCACAATATCACAAAGAATCAGCCAACAACAGTTTTTTGTAATCTAAACCATTTATTTTTCTGTAGCATTTCCAAGGTTTTGGTAATACAAACAAAACCCCTTATGCAACATAGTCAGCTTTTGCATGGTCTTACACACATTTGCACCATGTTCTATTTCCCTTTTTCACATCTATGAAAGGACTTCGGCAAGAGCAACTATCCAAAAAGGATGATTTTTCTTATGTTTATGTCTATGCACTGACCACCATGATGGGCCAAAACTGAAAGCACACATGCTTTACAGACACTTTCTTGAATTTCGTGGATCTGACCTTCTTGAGCTTGTGTAAAACAACTCTAAGTACTAATTTGAGAATTTTCCAAAGAAAATCTCATTAGGTGGACTGAACCGGACTGCGTCATTTTTTTTTAGAAAATGGAATTGGAACAGTTATACAATTAAAAATTAAATGGATCCCACCAGTAAGGATGTAAACAGTGTTTTTATTTGAAAAGCTTGTTCCTTTTCATAGATATGTTTAAGCCCCATGTGCACAGACTCTTTTATGTGCAGATGCAAGAGGGAAGCAGAACCGTGTTCGTCTGCTCTTCACTGATCTACATTCTTGACTCGCAATACCACAGGCACAGAGGTGCAGGGGATCATGCCCAAGTCAGTGATTACAAGGTCCACAAAGTCCGGTGGCGTCACGTCATACACCAAGTTCAGAAGCCCCAGTGATTTAACAGTCTGCCAGTTCTCTAGGTGGGTCTTCCCATTTCTGGTAACAATCAGGTCATCAGGGTCATCTGTAAAAAAAAAAAAATAATAATGTTCTGTTTATTTTTGTGTGTGTAAATACCTATATATGTCACTTATAAAATAAAATAGTAAATTCACCAAACAAGCTAAACATCACAGAGTTACCTAATTCATTGGATACAAAAGAGTCCGTCTGCACTCGTTCACAGAACTTGTAGGTCTCACAGCAGACCAGCACTGGTACATTGAAGGCCTTTGCTACCAGGGCAATCTGGGAAGTTCCCACACGTGACATCACATATCCATTGGCAAGGAGTGCATGGGCACCAAGAAATACCTTGGATACCTGGAAATAAGAGTGCAAAGTCCAAGTTCTGATTCAGCATTCATGATAATGTTTTTAATGACAACATAAAGGCCAGTTAACTTTAGTGCAATCACACTACCGTTCAAGTTTTTTTTTTTTAAAGTAAATTAATACTTTTATTCAGCATGTATGCAATAAATTGATCAAAAGCGACAGTAAAGACATTTATCATAGATTTCTATTTTTAAAATGCTGTTCTTTTAAACATTCTATTCATCAAAGATCCTGAAACAAAAATGAAGGATCACGTGACACTGAAAACTGGAGTAATGGCTTCTGAAAATTCAGGTTTGCCATGACGGGGAAAAAAAAAAATCACATTCTGAAATATATTAAAACAGAAAACAGTTCTTTAAAATTGTAATGTTTTTCGACAATATTGCTGTATCGCTGTATTTTTGATCAAATAAACAGCCTTGGTGAGCATAAGAGACTTTTTCAGAAACATTAAAAAAAAAATCTTACTGACCCCAAACTTTTGAACAGTAGTGCACACTATATTTTGTTTATGTAGCGTCTGGAACACTCCAACACACAATATATATTTTGTTAGCTAGATTTCACAAATACTTTGTAAACACAATAATCTAAACATTCAGAACCGTGCAGTGCCATATAATAATTAAATTGCCATCTAAAAGTGTCCTTAAAGCTGCAGTCCGTAAGTTTTGCCTCTTTGTCGCCATCTCTGTTTGAAAACCTTCAATTGCAGCTGTCTGCGGAATTATCTTCCTTGCGTGGGTTGTGCTCCGGCACGGCTCCAGTGCGGATGAATCTAATGTTTTGAGGAGTATGTGTGGCTGTCAGTCACCGCACCGGTGTGGAGATTCTAGCCTACGTCTTGGAATATATGACTCAAATAATAATTTCTACTGTACATTGTCATCTGAACAATATACAGGTGCATCTCAATAAATTAGAATGTCATGGAAAAGTTCATTTATTTCAGTAATTCAACTCAAATTGTGAAACTCGTGTATTAAATAAATTCAATGCACACAGACTGAAGTAGTTTAAGTCTTTGGTTCTTTTAATTGTGATGATTTTGGCTCACATTTAACAAAAACCCACCAATTCACTATCTCAACAAATTAGAATACTTCATAAGACCAATAAAAAAAAAACATTTTTAGCGAATTGTTGGCCTTCTGGAAAGTATGTTCATTTACTGTACGTGTACTCAATACTTGGTAGGGGCTCTTTTTGCTGCCTCAATTCGGCGTGGCATGGAGGTGATCAGTTTGTGGCACTGCTGAGGTGGTATGGAAAATTAGCATGTAGATTTAAATTTCTGTACAGTTTAATCTCTAATTGTCATACCATTCGAATTTCATATTAAGAAATTCTTTTAATCCAAAAAGCAAATTATGCTCCCTTCGAACTGGTTGTGTTTAAAATACAAATCTTGTGTAATCCCAGGCTATCTGTAATCAGAAGCACATTTAAAACTGGAATATAATTTAATTTCATTCACATGTGTTTCATAAACACACAATCCTTTCTGGATTACAATCCGCCATCAAAATTATACATTTAATTATTCCAGCTGCTGTAAGAAAATGCTATAAACGATCGGTCCACCTGCAGGATTCTCACATGCGATAGCCTAGTAGCCTGGACAACTTCTTTATATTTACAGAAGTGACGTAATGACGCGGCTGCATGCTTGAATTTCCCACGAAAACCTACCAGTACCACCAATTACAAAACATTCTTATAAACTAACCTTTGTGAATCGGGCTAAAGTAAGGCGATAGTTTTGAACACAGGCTGGTTTATGTACTTGCTCAAATATTGATTTCGGATCATTTTTAACCAAAAAAAGTTACGGACTGCAGCTTTAATAAAAGTATACTAGTAAAAATATTAGATTAGATTGTTCTTAATGAAATCGGTTAAATTTGGTAGAGACTGATAAAGCCGAGAAACTCTTCTATTAGCACCACTTCAGTTGCTACTGTGTATTGTTAAGAACGAAAGTACCAAACCATAATTAAGCTGTATTTTTAGCTACTGCTGATGTCATACACATAATCAATCCTTTGAAGGTACATGCACCTTTGTAAGAAATCCCCTTGCCTCGCAATGAGCTAAAAATAAATTATGCTTGCAAAAAAGCTTTACTGAAAAGAATGACTCACTTCAGGCAGAATGTAGGACAAGGCAGATATAAGCACGTAAGTACATCGGATGCCTTTCTTCACCAGACGCCTCAGCGCCTCTTTGCCCTCCAGCCTGGGCCGACTGTCCACAACTATGACTCTGAACTTCCTCTGCTTTTCAAAAGCTTCGCACAGAATGTGGTTGACAAGTGAAGAGCTGGAAAAAGACAAGAAAGGCATTTCTGAAACACTTCTGAATGTGTTCATCCAGACTATTACAGGATTACGTCAACTCACTGAAAACTCTTACCAGCCATAAACAAGAATAACATCTCCATCACTTATCTTCTCAATAGCGTACTTAGAAATGGCTTCAGAAGCCAAAATGATCTTCTCGTTTATGTAACTGTCAATGCATTCCTGCAGTCTCCTTTTCGCCTGTTGAGAAAACATTTCTTTTAGAAATTCAAAGGAATACTATTGTATATAAACGTCTCTAAACTAATGACTCTGAAGACTAAAGTGACTATGAATACTCTTACTTCTTCTTCTTTGCACTGACTGGGTATATTTGATATTTCCTTCTTGATGTACTTGATGGCATTGCCCATGCTGGCTGAAAGGGGCCGACACTGGCTGAGAAAACTGCAGGTGTGAAGAGCATTTGCAGTGTTTGTTAAACATCTGTTTCCATGTAAGATCAGAGTTCAAATAAAATATGTCCATATCAGTTTTCACAAGGAAGAAGGTGAACCTGATATAGGGCGACAGCTTGTTCACAAGGTCCCTCGACAACTCCTCATTTGGAGGTGTGCTATAGTCTCGAATAACCTAAAAAATTATTTAAATGTTAACATTCCATAGGTTATGTTTTATTATTTATTATTATCTTACCTGTTTAAAGGCATGTAGTAGGGCCACAGATCGAGCATTGGATCCTGCTATAATGCCCTGAGAGTACTGCAGGCCCAACCGAACAATGGATGGGTGAATAACTGTGGCAGGGATGCTACAAAATAAACCATATCAAATAATAAATCAACCAACTAAATCATTCAGGTTATACACGCTTAATTTCTAATGTCACTCCTGAAAAAATAAATACATTTAATTGTAAAAATGTACATTTATTTTTTCCACTGAGGTCTACTTATACCAGGGGTGCCCAAACTCGGTCCTGGAGGGCCGGTGTCCTGAAGAGTTTGCCAACTTGCCTCAACACACCTGCCTGGAAGTTTCTAGTATGCCTAGTAAGAGCTTGATTAGCTGGTTCAGGTGTGTTTAATTGGGGTTGGAGCTAAACTTTTCAGGACACCGGCCCTCCAGGACCGAGTTTGGGCACCCCTGACTTATAATGTTAAAGTTTTTTTATGCCTTATTTTAATTTTTCAAGCACATTTTCTAACCTCACAATTAATCAAACTTCTAATCGCGATTTAAATTATGGATGCAACAATTACGTAATCGTTCAAAGCAGCACTTATGTTCACTTATGTTATTCTGCATGCTTAAGATGTGTTTATCTACAGGTTATCTTAAGGGTTTTTCCATTGTTTTAATTTTAGTTTTAGTATAACATTATAATACCATACATATTTTTACTTTTTTATTATTATTATTATTTAAAGAAACCAATCCAGTGTATAGTTGACATTTGAGGCTTAATACTATAGAAAAGCAATACAAGTTTTTCAGTTAGTGTTTTCAGCTTTCAGCTCAGTTTATTTCATATAAAAATATGGCATGCAGTTGCTTCAAACAATCATATAAACATCATTCAGTGTAAATTGTGATAATCATAATTAATAATGGCAATTACAATTTAAAGTGAATAATTATGATTTTGTCATAATAGTGCAGCCCTAACCGAGACCTGGAATTACACGGCCCAAAGTTTGATTATCTTAGTTTCAATCAATTTAAAAATGAAAGGCTTTTGGGTGCTGAGGAGCAAGTTTGAGTTCAAGTTACTCTACTATGTTTCAAGTTACACTACTGCTCAATTTTTTTAAAGAAACATTTTTATTTAGCAAGGATGCATTAAACTGATCAAAATATTTATTTATTTCAACTAAATGCTATTCTATTGAATCTTCTCTTTATCAAAAATCCTTAAAAAATGTGTCATGATTTCCATAAAAATCAGCACAACTGTTTTCAATATTGATGATAATAGTAAGAAGCATTTGTTGAGCACTAAAACAACATATTAGAATGATTTCTGAAGGATCATGCGACACTGAACACTGGAGTAATGACTGCTGAAAATTCAGCTTTGATATTACAAAAATTAAATTTTTAAATACATTCAAAATCAGTTATTTTAAATGTCATATTTCACAATATTACCATTTTTACTGTATTTATGATCAAATAAATGCAGTCTGGAGTAGCATAAGAGACATAAGAGACGTTTGTCAAAAGATTAAGAGAACAAAAGATATTTGTATAACTTATATAACCCCTTTAAGACAAAATTATAACTAATGTAGAAGATACATTGTTTATAGTACCTGATTTGCTGGGTGGGAGGGTTTTTTCGGCTGTACTGGTGTAGATGTGAGAACAGGCTGACCTTGTAACCATAATCGGACCTCAAAGGAACCTAAGAGAACATAGTAAACAACAGCATTTGATGTGAATATTTTGTTCCCTCGAGGATAAACGCTCTAGAGGTCACATCCTCCCTCCTCAGGTCAAGAGCTGAGGCTGCAACAGAACACTGTGCATGAAGACATACATGACACAAATGTGCACAAATGAAAAAGGGCTCCACAGTAGCTTTATTCTAGTGTTATAGATCTACACCTAATAACATAAAAAAATAAAATAAATCAAAGAGAGAAAAAAAAACAAAAAAACACTCAAAATTCACCCAGAAAGGACATCTAGCTCATCACATGTACACAATGAAATGATAATAATCACAATGAAATCACCTCCAGCAGACATTAAAGCCAAGAAGAGTCAATAACGTTCACCAAGAAAAAAAAAAAAAAACACATCACAAATAGAAATTATTCAACAATACACTGCACACAAAAGTGTGGAGCCAGACCTTGACTCCAGTTATATTTAAACTGCATCCCTGCCCTGACTTCTGTAAGACATTGGAAGGACCTGGGTTAAAAACGCTGCAAAATGGATCTCAGAAAACACCTGGATGAATCCATCATCTGTCAATGGGAAACAATCAGACTAGAGGCAAAGCATGACAATATTGATTTGTCTCACCTGCTGTCTCTCAAGTTTTTTGGCCAACTTCTTCAATGCAGCAGGGTCATCCACCTGAATGTGCTCTGGTAACCTTTTCACTACTAACAGGAAATAGAGAAACGAAACAAAAACAAGGCTGTGCAAAATGGCAAAACTGCTCAGTCACAGTCTCTCCCTAAATGCAGGCACTTTAGATAGATTTTTTTATATATTTGAATTCACGAGTTCACACTTACTTATAATGAACCGAGTAAAGTTTATGCGTATTTGGCGTGCTGTCCGGGGAGAGGGCTCCGAGCTCGGTAATTACTCTCGAGCCCGGGGTCCTCCCCCTGGCCGGGGAGAGGGGTCCAAGCTCGGGATTAAGCCCGGACCCAGAATGCTCCCCCCGAGTGTTCCTTCCCGTGCTACGGTGAATGTGATAATCTGTGTCTATTATTTTTTAGATTATGGCAGTAAATTTACCCTTGTCCAGTTCTTCTGTTTTGTCATCTTCAGCGGAACTT